TCTCTCTCTCTCTCTCTCTCTCTCTCTCTCTCTCTCTCTCTCTCTCTCTCTCTCTCTCTCTCTCTCTCTCTCTCTCTCTCTCTCTCTCAATATCATTTTTCCCAACCTTGAAAGTGCTTTAACAGGGAAATTAGGAGAACGGAGGATTTTCTGCTTTGCCTCCTCACTTGTGGACTGGGTCTTTCTAGTCTATGTATATCCTAGCCTTGGGGAACATTCCACAAAGCAAGGATTCTACCAACGGTAGACTATTCGGGGGGAAGGGGGTTGAAGGACCATTCAGCGGGCTGAGCCGGGCTCTACTTACCAGTTGTTTTATTTCAAAGTCAGAGCTCTCAGCTCTGTAATTGGTTTTCTTCTAAAAAAGTTACCTACCTTCACCACTACCGTAGCTCTGCTCTTGGCTGCCCGTGTAACCATCGGATGGATACACATGTCACAAATGGCCCAACCAGTGCTGTTTTCCTCGGGTTCCATGGCCCTGAAACTTTCCACTTGCTTATTAGTCAGACTCGCAAGCAGCCCATTCATTTTCCCCATTCAGATTTTAAGAATTCTTATCGACTGCAAAGGGACACTTTTCAACAATGGTTCTCAGGTTTTGGTTCAAATTATGACCGCCCTTCAGCTCTTTCCTCACGCTTTGGTCACAGATGACCCAATTAGTGTTGTTTTCCTCTTGTTCCGCCATGATCCTGAGACTTTCCTCTTGCTTAATTAATTAATTAATCAGACTCTCGCAATCAGCCAAAATGCATTTTCCCCATTTGGCAGTCCTAAGAGGACTCAAGAATTCTTCACCGTTCTTTCCAATAATCGTTCTCAGGTGTTGGAGCTTTCGTCCCAGAGATGTCCTATTTGCCACACACCTTTTTACGCCTGATAGCCCCACACCTCGTCGCTCTTATTCAGCGACCAAGGATGGCCCTTTTCATCAACTATCCATTTGCTGCCACAGAAAGCGGGTCTCAGGATTTCGTCTTTACTTTTACTTTGTGGGGACCTTCGGACTTCCGGGCCGACCTTCCTTCAGCAAAGCATCAGAGGTTTGTTTTCCCGGAAGCCTCCCCTTCAATATCCCTCCTCTGCTTAGTATTATTGCCCCTCAGTCAGAATCTTTGGCGCTATGAGGTGGGCCAGTTGCAGATATAATTCCAAAAAAAGAATTAGAGATTTTCCCAGAAGCCTCTTCTTGAATCTTTCTCCTCTGCTTGCTGTTATTGTCCAACAGTCGGAATTTTCGCTCTAATGAGGTGGGCCAGAAGCAATTATAATTCCAAAAATTCGCTGCCATGTTCTGGGGGGATCCAAATGGCGCTCGTTTGGGATCCAAACGGCGCTCATTTTTCCTAATCTGCCCTGGGGCGTGCCGGGACCAAGGCAAATAGTTAAACACCATTGTCATTAGCTATCCGGTGGTTAGATGATGGGTCAATTATTTCACTAGGGCGAAAGCCGAAAGGGAGTCTTATGTACTGAAGGTTTTGACGAAGATTCTGTGAAACTTTTAGCTCATTATTTAGAAGTTGTTTGGATTGCGTTCGTTCTAACGAGCTTGAATCTGGGTCAAGGCAAATAGTTATGCATTCGTTCTAACGAGCTTGAATCTGGCTCACTCAGTCTGGAGTCTGGACCTAGGATTCTTAATAAGCCACCTCACCTCTTGCTATTGGCAATCACCATCCACTTCCAGGCTACTCTATGAAAAAAGCTCTCCTCGCCCGGGCAAGCAATACATTTTGCACTATTTACAGATCATTGCCAGAAGGATCCAGGCAGCTGCCAGCCTGCCACTGAATGGCAACCCTCCTATAAACTCACGTTGACCCCCAAGAACCTTAGGGGTTGGGAGTGGTTATTAAGGCATTGCAATCCGGGGGGAGTGTTCTTACGATATGACACAAACAGGGGAACAAGTTTTCAACGGCACACATTCATTGGAAAGCGAGTTCAAGAAATGCCAGCCAAACACTTAAGAGCATTCCGGAAGCACAGGGCAAACTGAAGGAAGCAGAAACGGCAGCAGCAAACAACAGACGCAGGAGGAGGAGGGAGAGGAGTACGAGGTGGTGGAGGGAGAGGAGGGAGAGGAGGGAGAGGAGTAAGAGGTGGTGGAGGTGGTGGAGGAGGGAGAGGAGGGAGAGGAGGGAGAGTAAGAGGTGGTGGAGGTGGTGGAGGAGGAGAGGGAGAGTAAGAGGTGGTGGAGGTGGTGAAGGTGGATGAGATGGACGAGGAACACAAGGTGGAGGGGAAAGCACGAGTAACCACATCGCCACCAGAAGAAAGAGGAGGAACAGAAATACCGTTTCTTCTCCATCTCTGCAATCTGCGGACTCTGCCTTGTGATTGCTGGACTCGCTCAGTGTGACGGTGGCTGGTCTTGTCTTCAACTGAGCAGACCGCTGCAAAGGCGAGCATTTCTGTGGGGAGTTGACAGACTTATGCGACGGAGAGTGGGCGCGTGGGGATGACCGACACCCATTCATGCCCGATGGATAAGCATTGCCTGCAGATGTCCGAGCTGCGACAGGAGGAGAGCCATAATGAGACGAGGTCGCTGTTGCTGAAATGGAGACACATGCGGACTTCTTCGGTCGAGGAGAGCGTGCAGATTGGTTACCCTTCGCAGAGCCCACAGACTTTGTCTGCTGCGATGAAGCACTACGCCGCAAACTGCAAAACATTCAATGCACGAAGTAAGTACACACAAGAAACATGTGTGAGAGAGCCCCAAATCAGCCCTCACAACCCCAGCACTGCGCTAAGTAAGTCTCTTGTCTTTTTCTGTTGGAAGTCAGTTGATAGTAACATAAGGTTGCCAAGTATTTTTTATTAGTTATTAATAAGAAATGATCCTAATCCAGAGCAAGTAAGATCCATACAAAAGAAAATCCTACTAGAGTTAAAACAACAAGTCCTGCAACTGTAGCTATTAGCCACAGAGGTATTCTTCCACTTGTTCCAACATTTGGACATATCAATCTCTTTTTTTTTTTTTTTTTTTTTTTTTGAAAAAACAGAACCTCGTGGTTCTGGCTCCTGCCATTCTGGGGAGCAACAGTCCGGTTCCTTTCCCCCGGCAAGACGGAAGTTTTACAAAGATTAAAAATACTTGATTTTTGAATTGTAAAAAAGGTAATTTTGTCTTTTTCTGTTGGAATTCAGTTGATACTAACGTAACGTAAGGTTGCCGTCTGCAGAGATGTGGACTCAAGGTCATCCGATGGACCTCAAGCAAGGCATTTGCAAGAGGGGCACAGGTCTGAGGATTACTCTTTAGATTGATTCAACCGAGGATGGGAATGGCAGAAGCTCCATTAATGACAATGGCCGAATTGATGCACACAGAATACAATCGTTTTGTGGACCATCAGCTAGATATGCATTCGTCATTCCCATGAAGCATAAACAATTGCATGATGATGTTCAGGATGAACACTCTACCGTCTTCACCCGAATAGAACGCCCGGTCATAATAGCTGCATTTGGTCCAACTGTCAGTCCAGATGCAGCGATAATGACCGGGCGTTCTATTCGGGTGAAGACGGTAGTAGTCGGCACAAGTCCATACGTGCATCAAACAGGGAAACGCGTGAAACGACCGAATCTCAGGCAGGCCAGAGTTTGATCAATTGTTGGTAGATTAATGAAAAAAAAAAAAAAAAGAATCCTTCTCGTCAGGGAGGCAATAATTGATGCTCTCATAGACTCAACTCAGTACTGCATGGCTTACCTTCGCAGAAGTAAAAGCAGGCTGATGCTCATCCTGAGACTAGAGATGAGCTGTGCCCATAAGGCCATTTTCAAGATTAAAAAAAAAAAAAAAAATTGCTACGTTGATGATCACATGAATGAAAAGAAAAGAGGATTGATGACTCCAAACCTGGCGTTCGTGTTCTGCCCGTTGAACTCCTGAAGAACCTTCACCGAAGTAGACGACAAGGCTTTAACTTTGGGTGACGAGTGGGCCTGCTGCGACTGATGGGCCCCCCTTTTGTTGCTCTGTGAGCTACCCCCGCCGCTATCAGCAGGCAACGCCAACGCTGTGTGCATATTCTCACAAGCGGAGCGCCTCACCGCTCTTGAGCCATCTGCAGAGGTTGCTCTCCTCATAACCGCGGAATTGCTACACTGAAGCTTGTACTCCGCGACGGAAACCTCTGAAACAAAAACATAGAACGACAAGGAAGAGGGCAACAAGGAGATCGCACATTGGTAAGTAAAACCTCAAAGAAAGCGGAGATGGCTGACCAAACAAGATTAATTAAACAGAAGAGGGGGAAATCTGCGGTGACAACCCCCACCGCCTACCTGAAGGGCAGCCTTTGCATCACCAGAGATGTCAATGCAGGAATTGCACACAGCTCTTAAGGGAGGGCCCTACCCTCCTTGATTGATTGTTATAGCGTGTTATTAAGCCCACCAGTACTTGGCCCAGCTATCGGCCGCGGAAAAAACAATAGAGTACAAACGTTTCGAGTCGGATGAATTTGGGCGCTCCTGTAGTGGCCCGTACGTTTCCTAAAACCGTGGATTGTTAACGGCCACGATTTAAGGAAGTACTGGTGGTTTAACAAGATAGATTGACGGGGGAAACATAAGAGGGCACGCACGGCATACTCAATGGCTGTAACGTGAATGGAATCAGAAGAGAGCTCGAGGGATGCAAAGGCCATAGGACTTGCTGCAAAATGAACTTGCGTCAGACAGGCCGAGGAAAGTCCTAATAGACCAGACAGAGGGAACCAACCAACAACTGAGCCTACGCATCCACGAGCCATTTTATATATTGTCACAAGAATATCAGAGCGCAAAAGCGAAAAAGAGAACAAAGAAAGAAAGAAAAATAAGAAAGAAAAAATGAATTCATTTTTTTCAATTTTTTATTTTTTTATTTTTTATTTTTAAAGGCTAATTCTTTAAGCCTAACCAATTCAATTACCTGTCAAATCTGGACAGGAAGGCCTTTCATGCCTTTTTTATTGTCATTATAGTATTACGGGGATCCCCGTAGCAGCCACATCCGTGCTCACGCCTCCAACGAGGGAACATGCTGGAGCTGCACCCACCAGCAGGTGCAATACCTGCTACAGCAGGTGGGCGATACCGGCCAGGGGTCAGCCAGTAGCATCAGGACCGAGCTTCTTCGATGGGCCTGTAACTGTGCCTCCCCTCCGGTCCCCTCCCCCTATGAACATCAGCAGTCTCTACTCAATGCCACTCGGGGGGACCAACGGCATATCTCTGACACAATGTGCAAAATTTAGAGGGAGCAGGCAACTCCCTGCGACACAATGTGCAAAATTTAATATACAAAAGCACAAATAAATGCATGTAGGCGAGCACACTCATAGCAACACTCATAGCCCGCCCTCTCCCCCCCCCCCCCCCAAACCAAAAAAAAAAAAAAAAAAAAAAGCAATAGAACATAAAACAGTACCGTACCAGATCGATCAGCCTGAAATCGCAACCACGTGCTACACTAGGTTATAAGCTAGCGACAAGAGCGATCACATTCGTCTATATACGTGTAATACCACAGAAGACAAGAATAGACACGCATACACTGAGATGATGGATGCCTAACCGCGGAGGGAAGACGACGTCGAGCACAACAATTTGTTAAAATGGGGTGCAAAGGATGTAAAAGCAAGTAGGAAGGAATTACCCTTCCGTCTCGGCTCGACGCGAGATAGCCCCGAGCTGTTTGAAGAGTGAGTTCCTGCAGGAGGAGCCATCGTTCACGAACGAAAGGCACGTGTCGTGCCAGTTGTCGTCCGGCTATCTAGCAACAAGCCACTCGATCACCAACCAGTCAGCAAGCTCTCTGCTCATGAACCTTCTTTTTCTCGCCTTCTCGCTGCTTAACGTCAGTTTCGCGTCTGCTGCCAGAAGAAAAAAAAGAGAAATCGCTCGCCTATTGATCGACAGACTACGCGACCAGCACCCCTTTTCCCTGCTTCGTGGTAGTGCACCTCGATTACCGGCCGCCGATGACCAACACGTACATCCAGCCGTGATGGCAATCACAGGAACGATTGATTACACTGCCCCTCGAGTGTTGAGACGGTTCACAGACCCCTTTGCCCGATTGCATGACACGTTCACTGATCCGCAGCAGCCTGATCAACACCTCCGTCCTCTCCTGCAGCCTCTCCGATTCATTTTCCAAGCCGTAATCAAGAAAGCAAAACTCCCCTCGTCGTCGTGCCTTTCACTTCCCTCCATCAGTTGATGGCAGAGCTGCCGACGTGCTCACCCTCTCTACACACACACCGCCACATCCAATCGCATCCGATCCAGCACAGTAATCCACCATTTGTCATTCCCCGACTGCAAACCGTCCAACCGTGCTCCACACTCACACAGCCAATTTACATGCAAATCAGTCATGACATCAGACATCTAAGCCATTCTTCAGCGCCCTTTACGGACCCGAAACCACCACCACACAGCACAACCATTTTCAAACAACCCGGTCATCAATCAATCAATCAATCTGCATGAGGCAATCAACGACGGAATGTTCGCTAAGTAGATTCATTCGTTCAACACCGCCACACACCGTCTTCCCCCGAACACAACGCACCCTCATTTTGACTGTATCGGGCCGGAAACATGCCTTGCATACGTTCATTTTCAGGGTGCGTTAGTTATGCTCGGGAGAAGACGGCAGTCGTATCTCATATGTATCTGACCGCATGCACGGCCATGCCTGCATGTATCTGGCCACAATTCCGTCCAAAAATACGTAAATAAGTCGTAGTGTGAGTATGCCCTGAGTTCTGCTCTTTTTTCCGACTTCAACCTTTTTTTTTGTATATGTTTCGTTACATTCCAATCTCTTTTTGTATATGGGACGCTGGACCCGTTTTCCAGCAGGTGCTGCTCCCCACCAATAGATGGAGCCTCTCCCCAGGTGCTAGTGGTGTCTGCTCTTATCAGCACCACTAACATTGGCGGGGGKGTTTTAAAAATAAAAATAAAAATAAAAAAAAACTCTTTGCGAGATCCCACTACCGATGTATGTGGATTAGAGTTTAAGGTGTGCGACTGTCAGGCATCGTGGATTTGGCAGGAAAACGGTAGCCTGGTTTCGTGAATTAAGCCCGGGAAAAGGATGTTTTTTTTTTCGCTCGCCCATTGGTAGGTAGGTTTTTCTTTCGTTTTCGCTGTGGGGGTCCTGTGGCGGTCCCCACAGCAAAAACGAATGGCTTCATCGCTGGAAATTGATTGTGGTTTGGAAGGTGTTCGGGGAGGGTTCGATCCCCTCACCTACAGCAAATGGTGTATGGAGAGTTACTCTTTCCCTCCTCTGCCAAAGAGAATTTCTGTCAGAACAACCGAACAGCGTGCACTGCGGCCTATTTCAAGTAAGCCTCAGACTATTGTCAATGAATATGGTCCGTATGCCCAGTCACATGCAGTCGTCTTGACTGCCACAGTCATGGTCAGTGAATCATACCCTGACATCTGACACCCCGCCTGCAGCAGACACCATCTGTGAGAAGAGCACTTTCTTTTCTGTTTTTTTAGCAGTTTTTTCTTCATTTGTTTGGTCATGAAATGTTTTTTTGCGTTTATTTTCCCTATCTCACGCTGCCACCCACCTGTCCCCCACCCGTCCCACACCAGTCACACTAATCCACATACATGGCTAGTAGGATCTCGCTCCTGGGTTAGGTGACCCATTCGGATTCAGCTTTTTTTTTCCCCTTCTCTTTTTTTCGGCCATTGTCACCATTTACTTCATTTTTATTGTTTTTGACAAATGCTCCAATCTATTGGTGGGGAGCAGCACGTATGCTTTTTTTTTTTTTTTTAGCAGCACGTATGCTGTTGACCCTCCTTAGAGAGATTTCGAACGTCCAGTGACACAGTTCCAAGTGGCAATCGTGCAAAATTACAAACGCAATGAGTGGCGCTCTTTCTCATTCAGACGGACAGCAAGTGAGAGAGCTCTCAGCATGCCGCGCCGGCGATAGGAGTCTGTTTCCGGTCAGGTCAATCTTTTTTTTTTTCGCTTTTGCTCTATTTTTGTTCAGGTTGATCGTCAAAAACAAGGGCATAACATCCTTCGAGACATCTATTACATTGGAAGGATAACAGAGAATACTAGCATGGCCCCTGCATATGGATGACACGCATAAATCGAGAAATGGTACACAAAAAAAAAGGGCATAACATCCTTCGAGACATCTATTACATTGAAAGGATAGCAGAGAATACTAGCATGGTCCCTGCGCAAGGATGACACGTATAAATCGAGAAATGGTTCAAAAAAAAAAAAAAAAAAAGGGGGCATAACATCCTTCGAGACATCTATTACATTGGAAGGATAACAGAGAATACTAGCATAGTCCCTGCACAAGCATACAGAGAGAGAATCGCATTGGGCCGAAGGGAACAAAAGAAAGGAAAGCAGTCTCAACATAGAAAATATCGGATTGGGGGGGGGGGCGGTTAATCATCCATTAGTGGTCCTCAATATATCTGGCATCCACGGCCGCCACATCTAGAGCCCCAGTGTGAGTATACCGTTATTGATCAACAAGGACGTCAACATCTGCACCAACGGCAGGGCAAGTCGAGGCTTCTACAAAGACGGGGAGAGAGAGAGAGAGAGAATGAGTTTGCTGTGTGTTGTCCCGCCGCGGGCCATGTCCGACGAAGGAATGTAATCGGTACATCCGCCGACGATGGATAGGCCCCAGTGTGACTATACCGTTATGCTTCATCAACAAGAACGTCAACATCCACACCAATGGCAGGGCTATAAGTCGAGCCTTCGGAGAAAGACGGAGAGAGAGAGAGAGAGAGAGAGAGAGAATGCGTTTGCTGTGATGTTGTTGTTAAGTCCCGCGGGTCATGTTCGAGTGAGGAATGTAATCCGTACGACCGTCGACGATGGCGAAGTTCTCCAGAAAGACGAAAGAGCAGAGAGGGCATTCAAGAGGATAAATCGTGTCAATCGCGCTACCGTCTCATCTCTCCTGCTACTCGGTTCCAGGGCTCCATGCACATTGAGTGGTCATCACAAGTCACAGGATGATCGTTTTCACTAGGAGAGGGAACCGCCCACCATCTCCACCTCCCCTACAGTTCGGGCGCGACTATCGTTTGTCGATCTACCCTTACCCATCAATGCAATCTTGTCTCGGATACCAGGCTTTCTCTCACAGCCCTTCAGCCCTCCCTGCTTTTCCTTCCCTCCCCTCCCTCCTCTGTCACTTCCCTGCGTCTTTTTTCACTTTCCCTTTTCCGGAATAAAACACAATTCAAGGGTCGAACAATACTCTCCGGCAGCAATACTCACATGTCAAGCGTCTCCAACTAGCGGCTTCGTCTCCCCGTTCCCTTCTGTCTACTCTCCCATCACGCTCTCTACGCCGAATTTACCCTCCCTCCCCTACGGCCGCAGGAAAAGTTACATCCGCGGCAAAAAGGGGAAAAAAAACATTAAAAAAAAAAAGAAAAAAGAAAAAAAAAAAACCATCGAGCAGCGCTGAGGCCATTACCCTCCCTTACGGCCGCAGGAAAAGTTCCATCCGCGGCAAAAAGGCAAAAAAAAAAACCGTCGAGCAGCGCTGAGGCCAGTCTCGCCGTTGAAGTACTCAGTACAGCTAACCGATTGCTAACCAGACCACAAAAGTAGTAAACCAGACGGAGAACATACACGGCATAGTTAACAAAACACCGTGTCCAGCTAACCAAACGTACAGAGCAAACCAAACACCTGCTGAGTACGGCCAACGGACGTATCCGGACAGCTAACAAACCTAAATACACTCTTCTGTCGTCACCCGAATACAACGTACGGTTATCATAGCTGTATTTGGGGCAACTTTTTCAGTCTAGATACAGCAATAATGACCGTACGTTGTCTTCCGGTGAAGACGGTAGTAGAACCCCACAAGAGCTATAAGCGGGGATGCATGGCGAGGAGAGAACGGTGGCGATCCCTCTGATCGATCCAAATATTCACGTGGACGATGACGTGCACCCTCCTCCCTCTGATCGATCCGAATATTCACGTGAACGATGACGTGCACCCTTCTTCCCCTTTGCTGTGTCATCCGCGTTGTGCTGCCCGCGGTACTTGCAGCAGCAGCCGACAGCAGAAGAACCTGAGATCGAGTCCAGGCAGAGCGTCCATTCATGCACACGAGTTTCATCGGATACGTTTCACACCCTTGGTGATTACTCGACTCCTCCCTCCCTCCTCAGACTGAAGTTTCCCAGTTCTGATTCAAACTGTTTGCTCTCCACAACAACTTACAGACCGAGACAAGAACCCTCGCTGACAGACCAACCATATTGGACACCTCGTTGTCACCTAACTCACGCGGGGCTCACTCAAACGGCCGTCAATCAATGGAAGCCTGGCTGGCAAACTCAACAACAGTCTCGTTAGATTTACTGTAATACGGTAAAATCTCGTTGTTAGTGACCGCAATAGAAGATAAAAGTTCGGACGTGCACTCGATTAACCGTGTTTCGCAATGTAAGCCACGAACTCGGGGTCGTCCTGTCAGGATAGATACAGATATGATGACCACGCCATCACAATGACGAAGACGATGATGGTCCTCCTTATCGCGCGACTGCTTTCAACTCAAAGTTCAATTGATGATGACAGACAGGTTTGCCTGTGGCACTCAAACGCGGCGACGGACGAATATGCTTGATTGCCCACTTTTTCGTGGAAATCACCTAGACGATCGACGAATATGC